AAACAGTGAGGTCTAAAAGAAAAATTTAGATTCCTTACATCAAGGTGTACCTAAATCACCCCCATGTATATTATACGATTGTGCTTAGTTTAGGAGATAGAGTTAATTTTGTGACATTTTAAAATTTTATGACCCAGTAGGCTTTAAACATTTTTATCTTTTTTTTGGGTTGACTTTTTTCAGATTTCTTTTTTTCGACAAATTTGTTATGAATTGCAGATGTTTGAAAAAAATAATCACCTTCCTATCTTTGATTCAAGATACAAAAGTTTTGCTAGAAACATTAACATTATGATTTTATCAGAACACTATCAAATTTTCAACTTAAAAGTTTAAGTAAAAATAAGAACTTCCATAGGTCCAAAACTATTTTAAAAACTGCGCCATTTCCTGAACTTTCATAATAATACAAAAAAACATGTACTTAATAGGCCACTATTTCCTGTAATCGGTCCACTAAAGTGGTAAGTCGGAGATTCCGTTACATGTTTTTGACTTTCTTAGAGTGAATTAATATTGGGAATCCTCTAAGTTTACATTACGTAGAACAGATTTAAAGCTGTAACTGGACAGAACATGTTTTTATTCTCAACGAGGAAGCTCTTGCCCTTCATCACACCTGGTGGAAACTGATGATTAGGCTGAAGGTGGAAGGGAACTTCAACTACAGAGGAACTATGGCTTCCTACCTCCAAATGCCGGAATACAGTAATGCTTTTAACATTATTGTTATAGTGACAGACTTAGGAAAATAGAGTTGCTAGCCAGGCAGACTTAGATCAAACCCTACCACCAACCAAACCGAGCAGAAAATTTCACCTCCACTGGGAATCAAACCCGGGACCTCTGAAGCTTACCTCTTACCACTTGAAGACAGAGGCAGTTGTTACATTTTACTATTACCCTTGAAATACCTACTACAGTCAGAAGAAGAAGGAGGGATATTTGGTTTATGTTCATCAAAACTTACTTAAAATAACAATGTGTTCCGGAATTTGGAGGTAGGAAGCCATAGTTCCTTTGTAGTTGAAGTTCCCTTCCACCTTCAGCACAATCATCAGTTTCCACCAGGTGTGATGAAGGGCAAGAGCTTCCTCGTTGAGAATAAAAACATGTTCTGTCCAGTTACTGCTTTAAATCTGTTCTACGTAATGTAAACTTAGAGGATTCCCAATATTAATTCACTCTAAGAAAGTCAAAAACATGTAACGGAATCTCCGACTTACCACTTTAGTGGACCGATTACAGGAAATAGTGGCCTATTAAGTACATGTTTTTTTGTATTATTATGAATGTTCAGGAAACGGCGCAGTTTTTAAAATGGTTTTGGACCTATGGAAGTTCTTTTTTTTACTTAAACTTTTAAGTTGAAAATTTGATAGTGTTCTGATAAAAGCATAATTTTAATGTTTCTAGCAAAACTTTTGTATCTTGAATCAAAGATAGAAAGGTGATTATTTTTTTCAAACATCTGCAATTCATAACAAATCTGTCCGAAAAAAGAAATCTGAAAAACGTCAACCCAAAAAAAAGATAAAAATGTTTAAAGCCTACTAGGTCATAAAATTTTAAAATATCACAAAATTAACTCTATCTCCTAAACTAAGCACAATCGTATAATATACATGGGGGTGATTTAGGTACACCTTGATGTAAGGAATCTAAATTTTTCTTTTAGACCTCACTGTTTTGGCCACCCTGTATAGCAACAACATGTTGATACCATTTTAAATGCTGACTTAACACTATGTACACATGTTTGAACAAATCAAAGCAAAAACTGTCCTACCTTATCACTTTCTTCTGCACCAGAGCCTTTGGTCACTGTCTCCTTAATAAAAGCAGTTTCTATATTTATTTCATTTGTCACTTTTTTCTGCACCAGAGCCTATGGTCACTGTCTCCTTAATAAATTTCTATATTAATTTCATTTGTTAAGCTTAAGTAGGTGGTACCTTATAACTACGCCTCTGCACGGAACACAGTGTTAAAACAATGTGCATTAATTGGTTTAAATAAGAAGAAACTCGCAAAAAGAGCAGTGTTTTGCTATTTATTTACCGATTATTGTAACGTTAGATTTCACGCACGTGCCGAGCGTGCGAATCCATGAGTACCCACGTGGCGCCGCGTGGCGCGCAAATATTGCTCTGTGACGCCTGTGGGGTGGAATAAATATTTGTAATGTACAAAACCATGTTTATAAATCGCGAGCCCCTTGAATAGGCTCATTTAGGTCAATGAGCTAATGTTCCGATGGGATTACACAAATCGACTAAAGTAAGATGAACGCACGCACAGTCCTTCCCAATGTTTTAGCAACACAAAGCCTTTGATCGTTGAAAAATCTAAGAAGTAATTTTAAAATTTATTTGAAAGACTTAAATTTAAGTAAGTAATGGCCTAACTTGTAGAATCCTAGTGGTCGCATGTGACCGACCACAGCAAAAATTGATTTATAATTAATGTGTCTAGTTTCGCTGGTACTTGAAGGGCTAAACAATACATAAAGAAAGAAATTAACTGTTTTATTATTCGTGGAAAATAAATCTACCTAGAGTGAAAAGCACCTAACGAAATGTACCTACGTAACTCTCTGACACCTTAGATTTGTATGCAACAATAAGCCAGATCATCCCCTTCAAAACCGAAACCGCTAAATCCGTGCACTTGAAATTCAGCAAGCGACACTTGAACGCACATACAGAATGCCCGGGTATCACCCGGGCAAGCGACACATCGTACGCACATAGAGAATACCCGGGTGACACCCGGGCGCGACCCAGCGGGAGGCGTGAGGGCGCGACGTGATTGCCAGCGGCCGAGCGGGACGACCCGCCACCCCAACTAGGTATGTTTATACAACGCATTATAAGGCAAAGGCTGCGACGTGACGAGCTTATTTAACTTTTTCAGGAGTGTTATTAGTCCAGTAGAATTAGCTTTTAAATCGGAAATAATTCCTACAAAAGATTTTATTGTTTTAATGGCTTCATTGGTTGCCCATTAAGACTTTCCTAAGTTTTCGACTTCGACGGAGTTGTGCTTAAGTGGTGGGGGCCCCCGAAAGGGGCATTTTTTCGGTTTTCCGGTTAAACCGCGTAAAGGACTTACCCTATCAAACAGTGGTCTTCATGACGGTTGAAGGGCACTTAATCCTGCATTGAATAAGACCAAATTCATATGTTTTGGACAAACCGTTCTCGCGCTAAAGTTCGGCAAAGTAGAAAATATACGTATAATTAATGACCCTCTCCACGCCCAATGGTTTGTTACCCACAGGCTTCCAAGTCTTGAAAAGGGCCACCTCAACCAGTGTAACCCTATCAAGGCTTACGAGCTTGATGCGCCTGTCCTTGTTCGTCCCAGCCGTTCCTTAACTGCGGTTGCTGCACCTCTTCCTGGCACTCACCTGAACGACTCTGTGTTACCTACTGTGGCTGCCCCTCTTCCTTGTATCCTCCTGCATGACTACGTTGCCTAGCCGTATGCCTGGTCTAAGGTTCGACGCCAAAAATCAACAACAACAAGTTCATATTAAAACGCTGAAGAGTTTTTTGTTTGTTTGTTTGAACGCGCTAATCTTAAGAATTACTAGTTTGATTGAAATCATTATTTTTGTGTTGAATAGCTCATACATTGAGGAAGGCTATAGGATATATACAATCACTCTACGACTAATAGAGGCGAAGCAGTAAAGAAAAATGTTGCAAGCACGGGAAATAGTATTTAAACTATTTTCACTTGTACGAAGTTGATTTTGTGGCGTCGAACCTTGGACCAGGCATATGGCTAAGCAATGAAATCGTACAGGAGGGTACAAGGAAGAGGGGCAGCCACATTAAATAACACAGAGTCGTTCAGGAGAGTGCCAGGAAGAGGTGCAGCAACCGCAGTTAAGGAACGGCTGGGACAAACAAGGATAAGCGAATCAAACTCGTGAGCCTTGTTAGGGTTACACTGGTTAAAGCGACCCTTTACAAGGCTTGGAAGCATGTGGGTAACAAGCCATTGGACGTGGAGAGGGTCATTAATTATACGTATATTTTCTACTTTGCCGAACTTTAGCGCGAGAACGGTTTGTCCAAAACATATGAATTTGGCCTTATTCAATGCAGGATTAAGTGCCCTTTAACCGTCATGAAGACCACTTTTCGATAGGATAAGTCCTTTACGCGGTATAACCGGAAAACCGAAAAAACGCCCCTTTCGGGGGCCCCCACCACTTAAGCACAACTTCGTCGAAGTCGAAAACTTAGGAGAGTCTTAATGGGCAACCAATGAAGCCATTAAAGCAAAAAAATCTTTTGTAGGAATTATTTCCAATTTAATCAATTTTTGTGTTTAATTCTACTGGCCTATATAGCGAATCTGATATCCTTTTGCTTTGTTTTTAAATGGATTTAAACGCAAATGTATTACATGTCGAATTTCGAGTTAAGAGTAGGCGCACACTGTTGATTTTTCGTCGGCCGATAGTTTAGTCGGGCAGTTGATCAGTATGGGCATGTATGGGAGTGCGCATACTACGCCGATTCGATTTGGCCGATTCTTCATACAATTTAAAATTGGGCACAACTATCGGCCAACTAAAAATCAACGGTGTGCGCCTACTCTAACTGTAAACTGTAACTGCGCCTACTGTAAATAATAATAGTGATTAAGTAGTGTTCAGCTACATAAACCACTTAAGGTTCGGCCAAACCAACGCGATCAACCGGCGTGCAGCGATGGCGATCAATGCATTTAGGTCTGGTCGCCATCGCTGCACGCCGGCTGATCGCGGTGTGATCGCGTTGGTTTGTCCGAACCCTTAGCTACCTACTTAGTTTGAGTTTTCTTAGCTTCAAGATTTTTATAACTTTTAGCACTGCTATTGATCACCCTGTATATTAAGTTTAATTTATGATCTATTAGTTCCAAACCTCTTTGCAAACCTCTACAAACATACTTGTCAAACTATTGTCATTCAACCACGCAACAAAATAAATAAACTTCATACAATCACAAAAGTAAAATAAAAGATGGCCCAACTTAAACCCACGACTTGCAAGGAAGCAATAGCCCGTTGGGAAAAGGAAAAAGGTCAGGTGGCTGCCGACGCTACGGTGATCGAGCTTCAGTTTCAGTGGCCACCCATCGAGAAGATGGACGGAGCGCTTTCCACACTGGTCGCCTGCGAGTAAACTATAAAATTTAATATTTCACATTCTTGTAGATATGCTTACCACACGTATTTAGAAACGTCAATGTAGGAATATGCTAATACTGCATTTAATTTCAATTTAAAAACAGCTTAACTTTTCCCCAGGACCGGACTAAGCAACTCAGTATTTATCGACTAGATGTTTGCCTTCTGATTCTGGCTACGAGTTGATTACAACTACACCATAGTTTAGTTAAATGCCTTGCCTCTAGGCTAGTTCACGTGTTGTTGACTCTGCATTCGTAGCACTAAGCTACGATCAGCTACGATGACTACAAACATAGTGCCAAAAGTTAAGGATTGTAGCGATATGGTTTGTCGTCATCTTCTTCTCTGCCTTCATAGTACTACAATGACTACGGGCGTAGTACCAAAATTAAGTTAGCGACTGTAGCTGTACGATGACTACGAATGTAGTTCCATAAGTTAACGGTTGTAGCGATGTGGTTGGTTTTCATCTTCTTTTCTGCGTTCGTAGGACTACGATGACTACGAACGTAGAGCCAAAATTAAGTTAACGGTTGTTGTAGCGATGCGATGCTGTTGGTCGCCATCTTCTTTTCTGCGTTCGTAGCACTACGACGACTACGAAAGTAGAGCCAAAATTAAGTTAACGGCTGTAGCGATGTGATTTGTCGTAATCTTTTCTGCGTTCGTAGCACTACGATGACTACGAATGTAGTTCCAAAAGTTAACGGTTGTAGCGATGTGCAGTGGCGGCGTAAGGCGTAGGCGACGTGGGCCACCGCCTACGGCCTCGCGGTACAAGGGGCCTCGCGCATCAAAAATTTTGAAAAAATGTATACAAGGTGGAGATGACAATATCACAATACGACAATAAATGCAAACATTGACTATTAAATATAAATTCTTGATAGCTAAACAATGTAGTTAAAAATAAAAATATCTGGGNGCTGGGATATTTTTTTCCAAACAAATTCAGCCATATCACTAGTTTACAAGGTTTTTTACCCAGAGATGAAACTGATATGTATTGGTAGAGTTATTAACCCTTACTTAAAAACTGAACTTAGAAAAAATTTAGGACGTCAAATTTTGTAAATATTGATTATATAAATTTTCATCATTTTTATACATTTATCTCTAAAAAACAATAAAAAATAAGTCGTTTTACTCCTTCTTTTATACTGATTAGTATCAGTTTCCCTTATTATAGACCAGCAGCAATCCGATAATATATTTTTATCCCAAATTCCTTGGTATCTTTCCTCAAAAACCTTCAATTCCTGGTGAAAACTTTCGCCATGCTCAACACTCACGCTTCCCAGGTTCTCAGGAAAAAAATCCAGGTGAGAATGTAAAAAATGAATTTTTAACGAATTATTCACACCCATTCCTTGGTAATTCCTCAATAATTTGGAAACAATTTCTGCATAATTCTCAGATTAATTTACAGTTTCCCTGGAAACTTTTCACTACTGCTTTAAATTGATACCAAGCATCTTTCCCTTACTGGAATTGCTGGGTAATGATGGATAAAGAACTCCTTCAGACTGTAGCACAGGTTTTGTGACTGATGCAACATCAGGATATTGTATGTTCTTGGTTTTTGTTGCTAAAACCTGTAGTTTCCGTGAGGCAGAAGTAACAGTCATTAATGTGATTTGTTGGTTCTCTCCATAACATTGGGGTGCCGAATCGAATATGTTTTCTTCTTCCTGGAGCCTAGTGCAATAATATACTTCTCAAATTTTCGCACACTACACCAGGAACCCATTTTTTATCAGGTTTGTTACCGAGATTTGAAAGTAATAGAAATAGGCCCGTTTTACGGCCTCAGTGATTGGTCTCTTCATTTTTGACAATATAATTTGACCACAAACTCAGCAAAAGTTATTTAGGCTTAATTTACACTGCCTTGGTGATATTTTAAAACAAGTGAAAATGTTAAAATAATACTTAAACGCAATTAAAATAAAGTAGAAACTCCGACACGGCTAACAAGACAGCTTACTTAGGTTAATGTGGATATCTCAAAAACTTGACGTGATAAAAATATGAGACATATATTTTTGTAATAAGGGGACTGGTAGAAAACACATCCAATATGAATTATCTTTGGGTAAACGAAAAACTTTTTTTTTGTAAACTAGATCAGACTCAAAATTAAGCAACAACACGGTTTTAAGTGAAGAACATTATTCTTTGGCGCAATATTCCTTTAAAAATAATCACTAAATCAAGAAATCAGAAACTGTCAATGAATAGACCATTGACCCGTTTTTTTTTTATTATTTCATAAAATCCGTCTTCAGGTCGCCACAGAACAAGGCCTCGCGAAATCTGTCTTGCCCACATCAAATTTAGGTCTTGCCCCGCCACTGGCGATGTGGTTGGTCTTCATCTTCTTTTCTGCGTTCGTACGATGACTACGAACGTAGTGCCAAAATTAAGTTAACGGTTGCAGCGATGCGATGCTGTTGGTCGCCATCTTTTTTTCTGCGTTCGTAGCACTACGACGACTACGAAAGTAGAGCCAAAATTAAGTTAACGGCTGTAGCGATGTGGTTTGTCGTAATCTTTTCTGCTTTCGTAGCACTACGATGACTACGAATGTAGTTCCAAAAGTTAACGGTTGCAGCGATGTGGTTGGTCTTCATCATCTTTTCTACGTTCGTAGCACTATGACGATTACGAACTTAGTGCCAAAAGTTAGCGGTTGTAGCGATGTGGTTGCGGCTTCATTCATGACGATTTTTAAAAATACAATCCAACCGATTTTCAACTATTGTCAGCTGTTGAAAATCTGTTGGATCGAAGCAATCGGCAACTGTAACAGCAACTTTGTGTGGGATGGGAACTAAGTGGCTTAGGTGGCTATTAATCACCAATTGACCTTTGTGTTAATATTTATAGCTTAACTTACGTATCCCTTCCTAAATAATGAGTTAAAAATCTTTTTCATTTTAGGAAATTGAGCCTATCGTCTAATATGATCGATAAAATAGCTGGTATTGCTGGCATGAGAAGTCTGAAAATATTGTCGTTGGGCCGAAATTATATCAAATCATTAGCAGGAATTGTAAGTACAATCCAACATTACAGCCTTTTATTGAAATAATTCTGCTACGATTACTTAAAGGTAGGCTTTATTTATGATCAGTTTGTAGAATATTTATAAATTTTATTTTCAAAGGAAACTGTAGCTGATACCCTGGAAGAACTGTGGATCAGTTACAACCCAATAGACAAGTTAAAGGGGATCGGTTCCTTGAAGTCTTTGCGAGTTCTCTACATGTGTAACAACGCTGTCAAGGAGTGGGTTGAATTTAACAGGTTGCAGGTAAGCTGTAGTGTAGGTACGTTACTGTCGTACTTTTATACAATACTAGCGGTCACCCGCGACTTCGTACGCGTGGATCCCGTTTTACCCCCCCAGGGGTGGAGTTTCATAATATCCTTTCTTAGCGGATGCCTACGTCATAACATCTACCTGCATGCCAAAGGATAGTGCCAGGGTCTGGACCAAGTGCTGCCCAGGATTAACACATAGTGCATTTTGTTCCTCAGGCCTATACTAATGTGTAAACCCAAGCACACTGAAATCTATCCCTGGAGTTAAGAGAAAAAAAGAGTTTTGTTTTGAATTATTTACATAAAAAATATCGTCGATGTATACGTACTACGCATAATATTTCGCGATTGTAGCATTAAATAACACTCACTATGTTGAACTTAACCATACTGCATCCGTACACGTTACTTTAGTGCGATTTAGACATTCTTTATAAACGATCTAGCGCTGTTTTAATTGTTTGGTAAGTTGACAGAAATTCATTATTTCCAAAATGAAGCAAGAAGTTTTAGTTGTCTATCCTTGCAAAAAATCAATGTATTGGTGTACTACAATCGATTTTATTGAAGTTATTGTAAGCTAAAACTTCTTGCTCCATTTTGGAAATAATTAATTTCTGTCAAGTAACCAAACCACTGCAACAGCGCTTGATCGCTTATAAAGAATGTCGAAGTCGTACTAAAGTAAGGTGTACGGATGCAGTATGGTTAACTTCAACATAGCGAGTGTTATTTAATGCCACAATCGCGAAATCTTATGCGTAGTACGCATACATCGATGATATTTTGTACGTAAATAATTCAAAATAAAACTCTTTTTTTCTCTTATGTCCAGGGATAGATTTCAGTGCGCTCCGGTTTACAAATTAGTATTGGCCTGAGGAACAAAATGCACTATGGTTTAATTCTGGGCAGCACTTGGTCCAACTTCCATACATGGATTGGCACTGTCCTTTCAGCCCGATCCGTCCAGTGGTTTGGGCTGTGCGTTGATAGATCACTACGTCACTCAGTCGTCACCTTTGAGTCATATAATATTTATACAATACTTTCAGTTTATTGCGCAAGTAGGTACCTAGTTAGAAGATAGAGCCCAAAAGCTGAAAATACATATTATTAAAGGAGTCATATTCATTTATTTGGATTTATTGCTGAGTAGATTTCGGAATCCCAGAGCTTTCGCACACGAAACTCCGTAGCCGTCACAATCATTTCCTAGTCTTAAATAAGAGTGGCAAAGGAAGATAGTAACTTAATTTCTCAATAGCTATTACAAATGTTTTTGTTTACAGGAATGTCCAGCACTACGAGACTTGGTATTCATCGGGAACCCTATTTGCGAGAATCAACCCGACATAGATACCTGGCGAACCCAAGCGGCCAACCGCTTGCAGCAGATCGCCAAGTTGGACGGTGTGCCCATCATCAGGGAGTGAATAATTACGATATTACTTACAATTTAAACTAACGCATTTACCTGCTATTACACTTTTAACTTAATTGGTCTTTTATGTCGTCCAAATAATTTTCCGTTATTATCAAGATCTCAAATTGTAATAAGTCAATTACACAACTATTTCGGTCGGAACATCAACGGTCCCTCGAATTTATATTCCGTATTAGATTTGATTGCGTGACACTTTCTGTAACAATGGCTGATAGAGGTCCACTTGTTTAGGATGGAAATGACGATAATACTCGAAATAATAGCTCCGTCGCATCGAGGCTTGACATTTATGACAGATTATGACACTGGCAACACTAATAACCGCCACACACGCCATCTATCTATTAGATGACGCAACTTATACATGACAGCATTAAGATTGAATTCCATTAATCGAATAATGATTGCAATGGACAGATTGTAGATTACAGAGCTCCTATTCAGCGAAGCCCGTAAAGCGATAAATTGGGTTGTTGATTGATAAAATCTACAGATACTTCGAAGCTCTACCTCTGACCATAGTTAAGTAACTACAATTCGAATTCGTAAAGTTTATCAGGAGTTATCTATAAAAATGTATAAACCATTTTAACATGGTAATAGAATCGGAAATAGCTGAACATAATGAAGTTAGATCACCCCGGATCGCCCCGGAACAAGCGTTAAAAAGCTGCTATTTTATTGCAAATCGACCAATATTCATGTGAATGCTTCTCCATTGTCGTCCGGTTTTATGATTCGTCATACGTCTCAAAGGCGACTTAATAGCCTGCTTAATTCGTGGCAAAAGGAAATGCGAATTGGCGGGGGACGCCATTACCGTCGGAAAAGTCCCTCTTGGGGTAGACGCGCGGATGGGAGGCCATTGTGTTGCCACTAATAAAATTTAATGATGTAAACGGATAGCGCGAATTTATCTAACTGAGAACCGCTCGGGGAGACCGTCGCTGAGGGGAAATCAATTAACGTCGATATATTAGAGGGCAAATTGAGTTACTTCGTTATACGATATTGTTGTTAGATTCAAAAGATTTAAGATTGTAGTTGGCACGGCTCTATATTTTATGAATTAAACTACTTAGCAACAACTAAAATCATCCTAACATCAAGCATAACGAGCTAACTGTATTATCATTCATATTTATAAGCTACGCACATGCATATCATATTTCAAATGTAAGTTTCACATATCGATTTATCAAACACGACGCTACTATCACCCAAAATGAATATTAAACAAGCAGGTCCCCGATATAGAGTATTCAATAACTTAATGGAAAGCCGGTCACTGTGTGCTCTACGTAATGGACCGATAATTGTCCAGCCAAACATAAGTAACTCTGTTAATCACAATGAGGCTCGCACCTTCCCTATTCACGCACCTACCCTCGTAATGCGCACACATGCCGCTGCCACCAAGCCCGTCATTATTTAATTATTAACATTACAGTCGACCTAATTTTGATTTCTATTTGACATTTCGATTACCCGCCACGTAGCCTCAGGCAAGCCATTCTGTGACATCTGTCCTCGAATGTGTTACCAACTATAAAATTCAATTTCCCCAATCGGCTAGCTCGACACATTTATTATTCATAGATCGGTACCTAGATGCCCGGCCACTAACAGATGCGATCTTTTACGTGAAGTGATATCAAAAGATGAAGTCCGTATAAAAAGCAGTGTTTCTGAGGGACATGAATTTAATATAAGATCATGTGAATCCAATTTGGGGAGATATCGAATAATGTAAACGAAAAATCGACGAATAGGTACGTTTTATAAAAAGCTATCCAATCGCGTGACAAGTGAATGCAGTAGCGGGAAATGAGTTTTCGTTTCAGTCCGATTCGAAAAAGCTATCAATTTTGCACTATTCCGTCTCATTATATCTACGTGATTGGCGAGCAATCGGCTGGGGTCACGCCACTGATCGCGTTTAATACTTAAACTGGAATGACTGACGTCCATTTCCGTAATGGCTATATCGTAGCAGCTGGTGGTCACCACTACTAATTTAAATGTATGATTGGGATCGTGCGGTGGCTCGAGCGGGCCAATAAATCAATCCATGTCGTCGGTAATGCACAATCCATTTGCTCGCATGTAGCCTAATTGCTGTTAGCGCCGCCCAATGGGCACATTAGGCTGAAACGGCCGGCCCACGCGCCGCTGTGTACGGTCGACATGAGCCTTGACTCGGCCTATTCGGCTGTAATGGCTGATTTTCTAGCTCACGACACGTAGCCGCGGCAAACGGCCACGCTTACGCCACTCAAAGGCGGAGAAAATGGCTTAAGTGCTTTCTCTATTATGCTTAAGGTCGTTCGTGAAAAGGATAATTTTCAACTCTCCAGCGCCCCCGCCCCAGCCGGATGTTGGGATTGTATGGACAGGACTACTTTTAGTTAGTTTGTTTTTAGTTATTTTTTGTATCATCACATCAAATTACAATTAATTATTAACTTCTAATAGCAGAATTTTAAATGAAAGCTATTTTCTTCAGCTTTTTTTTCAGCACAGTTGCATCACGGATGTTATTTCATTATGAGACACCTGTTTAGAAAGCTCTATCATCGGCAGAATTAAACGATAGATCGTTCAATAAACTTAAAGATAGGTTTCAAAATATAATACTACTACTTACTACGAGACGGCAAACTTAAACTAGAATTTTGTTGTTTGTAGTGCTGAATTATTGAAATAAGTAAGTAGATATTACGTTTATTTTAATCGAGCAACGTTCATACTTTTCTAACGTATAGTGAGATAATATATTTTTAAGTCGGGTAGCCTATTGTCGCGCGGCAAGGGTCGCAAAATAAAGCTTTCCCAACAAACAATAGTTCCGGTCCTTTGTCGCCGCCGACTAAGTAAACATTAGTAGTTACGCCACAGACTGAGAAAATGCGGGGGGAAAGTTTACATATTTTCTTCCTTCTTCTTGTCAGTTCTCCTCTTTATTTATCGACTCGGATTATAATGACAACTTCTATGGTATAAATAATCTAAACCATCCCATAAAGGCCTTTCTAGCAAGAGTAAACTCAGCTCTACAATAAAAGCTCCGTACCTAAGCTATACTTATAAAAAGAAAAGAAAACATCATGCATTTTAATACATCGTTGCAGTATTTTATTAATTTCGTGAACTTATTTAACTGTATGTTGTACTTTCGTTTTAACTGCAGCTACTTTTATTGTTTTGTTGTTGTTGTTTATGTTTAACTTCAATTAATAAACTCCAGCTTCGCCCTGCTGTGTCACATATACGAGATATACCCACCGGATCGCGACTAAGAGGTTACGGAAAGACGACTTCCACTCAACCCCAATTACCTTTTGTTCTTTTCGTAATATTTTTATTCATGACATTAACCATTGTTCTATTTTAAAAGCTACATAGTTATTACATAGTATGTGAATTTCATGAATGTCTCAATACTAAATTATGATATTGAATGTAGGTACCTATTCACTGCGAAAGTTACTTTTTTGCATTAAGACGGTCTGAACTAATTTATTTTATATCACACTAGCTTTCCGCCCGCGGCTTCGCACGCGTGGACCCCTGAACCCTATTTTTTTCCAAAATAAAATGTAGCCTATGTTACTCGTGGATAATGTAGCTTTCGAATGGTAAAAGAATTTTTAAAAACGGTCCAGTAGTTTTTGAGCCTATTCATTACAACCAAACAAACAAACAAAGTTTTCCTCTTTATAATATTAGTATAGATAGACAACAAACATTGCCATCGCTTCAGCACCATGAAAGTTCATTCAAAACAGGAAAGTCACGATCATACCATAAATTACTATGCCAACATTAACACCTACTTTCCATAATAGCCGATAAACCAAATTTAGTTTTCATGTTACGCACCCTTCACAGCTACTTATAATAAGCAATGATCAATGGAGAATAATCCTATTGTGTCGTGAGCACACAAAAAACCATGTCTGAATTATTCCGCCACGCTCTCGCGCTAATATCTCCATTACATTAGTCGAGCCACATTGTGCCGCCTCCGAGTCCCCGCCATGGAAAGGATTACGCGCCAAAACGGTGACAGTTGTCGATGAGACAAAAGAAAGGCGAGTTCCGAAATTCGCATAATGGCTTGTGTTTATTTAATTTAAGTCACTACAGAATAATGCTGTGTTTTCGTCGGAGCATTCCGAATACGACTTGAGCCGAAGCGCCTCGGGGCAATAAAATTAATGAAGCGTGGAGATGGGACCATTTTACTTGTATTATTCGTCTCCTGCGGCCTGAGACTGAAGCGAATGTCCATTAGTTCTGTTTTAACATGTTAGCGAGGTTGAAACGTTGTAAATGCGATTTACTTTACAGAGAGGGTGGAAAAGTAGCCCGAGAGATTTGGCCGATCAATAGACGAAGCGATTGGGAGCGATTGAAAATGTTTATCTCGAAATTGGGAGTTTTGGCCAAGGGATATTGAACCAACTTAATACTATTTGTATATTTCATTGATTTACTTAAACTAAAATTTTCTACAATACAACACACGTGATGGTCCTTTGAGCCCGATATTTGGCATCTCTTTACGATTATAACATCATTATTGCGCGTGTGTTGAATAAACAGCTCAGAGTATTTTTCCGTTACACCTACTCGCTGAAAAGGAAACAATGTGCGCATTACATCGCATTAGTGGTTAACAGATGATCAGAAGCGCCCGCGCAGCGGTTACGCACGCCCGACGAGCGCCATGTTTTACTGATACCATCTAAATCCGTGAATTTCACTCGCCCCTATATTGGCGATTTACTCGCTTAAGCGAAGATAGATTCATAGAATAATAAGCTTCGTTATCCATTATCGCATTACAAAATTGCAACAATAGCTTTTCAACACGCTGTAAGTTTGTTTAGTAACCGCTTTAATAAAAATATAAGTTACTTATTATGTTTTTTTTACATAACTAGGTGAATCAAATAAATACCTATCAGACTATCTAATTGCCTACTGGCATACTTACTAACCGCAAAAAATAC